CATCTATATTATTTCTAGGCATTTTTTTTGCCTAGAATGGTCATTGATAAGATGAAATAAGTGTGTTTCATACACATCCAAGGAGGAAGATTATATGGAATCAAGAACATTGGCCAAATACTATATGTAGAACTCATGGTTCCAAAAGGATTGAAACCATCAGTAGCAAGGCCTAAGAAAACATTTTGAGGATCTAAAGCAAACTCAAGGTGTGTCAAATCAAATGTCTTTCATGCCTCGCCTTCCCTTGGATGCCTTATCAACCCATCTTTGTTGCCCTCTAAACCATGTCATTTCATATGCTCAACAATCTTACAACACATAAATAATCTTTGCAACCTTGGTTTCAATGGAAAGTAATGCAAAACCTTTGTTGAGATTCATAGTGGTGAATCAACTCATCTCTGGAGATTGAAGATTTTGATGATACCAAAGTGTGGAACAAGGCTAACCAAGGACATCAACAAGTCAAAAACAAAGTCAAGAAGAAAAATATAACTATTGTGTTGTAATAGGAGTAGCTCATAATTTGTGTTATGTTGTTGAGCTTATCTTTTCTTGTGTGTGCTTTGTGCTTGAGCTAATCTGTATCTAATCTGATTAGGAGTGTGTATGATGATGAGTTTAAAAGCTTAAGAAGTTATTTTGAGACATAAAATTGAGTTTTGAAAACTGACTCAAAATAATCGATTATCATTAAATATAATTGATTATTCCATCAACAGGTAAAAAGGATACCTTGCTGCAATAATCGATTATTTGTGAAATAATCGATTATCCCAGAAATCACCCTCTGGAATAATTGATTATCCTGCAAAATAATCGATTAAATTTTTCTTGGTTGATTTCCAGAAATCATGAAGAACAAAATAATCGATTATTCTTTAAAATAATTGATTATCTGGTTCTGAAAAACTTATAAATAGTTTACACATTTTGAAACTTCAGAACAAGATAGAATTGAGAATCAAAAATAGAAAAACGTGTTTGTGAAGTCTTTGTGACATTCTTGGAGAGTTTTCTTTGTGAAACCAAGAAGAAAAATGTTTTTGAAATGCTTTGAGAAAAGATCATCATCATCATCATCACATTCTTGAAAAGAGAAAGATTAAGATTTGCTTCTGAATTCCAAGTGAATTCGTTCCTTAATTCTTTGTGAATAATTGTAAATCTTGAGTAGGTTTCTCAAGTGGTAAGGAATTCTTGTAGTGGGTTTCTACAAGGGGTGCTTTCTTGGGGTCAAGAAAGTGGTTATCTTGAATGTAGGAGTGTATGCATGTGTGGTATGCTTGTAAAACTTCTTCATTAAGATAGTGGAACAAATCTTGATCAGGTTATGATTGAGGACTGGATGTAGGTCACATGTGGAGTGGCTGAACCAGGATAAAAGACTTGTGCAATCTTCTCTTACCCTTTTCTTTTACTTTGTGGAATATCTTGGTTGTATGCTGATGAGATTATTCTTGATTAACATGTTTGTATGTGCAACATTGATTTGAACTAAATCAAAGTATTACATATTGATTGTTCTTAACTTTGAATCTCATTAATGATTAATCAAGAAAACATATAAGATTCATTCTTCATTAACAAGTCTTTAAGAAACTTCTTTGAAAATTCAGAATTAGAAAAGTTTGAATTGAAATAAAGATCCTAAAAACTCTGAAAATTTTAAAGTGTCATAGAATCCAATTCACCCCCCTCTTGGATTGAGCCATTCCTTTCTAACAACCTTTTCAACTTACTTTTTTTCTTCTTCTTTGGGTTCCATCTTGATGTACCACAGTGCTTGCATGTTTGCAAGTCTTTATCATCGTCTTCCAAATATAACATACAATCATTTGGACATGCATCTATCTTGGTGTATTTAAGACCAAGTTTGGAAATGATTTTCTTGACCTCATAAAATGAAGGAGGTAATTTTGCTTCATGAAATGCATCTCTCAACAAATCTAGTATCAGTCATTGCAATGTCACTTAATCCACACAAAACCTTAATATGATACAAATTTTATTATAAATTCTAACTTTGTGTACTTTCTCCCTTCATACAATGTTTGGTTTGCATCATTGAGAAACTCACTAAAGCCATTATGATCTTCTATAGGATGTTCATGTAATCTTTCATCTGCACCTTATGCTTGTGATGTCATTGCATTAGTGGCTTCTTCCTTGCAGTGCCTAAATGAATCATTAACCATGGTTTCCATTGGATTTGCAAAGTGCAATGACTCTTATGAACCATCTCCATCTATAAAAGGCTCTAATATTTGTTTCTCACCATGAAGATTCCATAACACATAATTTTCGGGAAACGGTCTACAAAGAAAATGATCTTGTACCACATGTCTAGTTTGCCATTTCATAAACCCACATTTTGGACATGGACATCGTATAGTATCCCTAACAACTTCGTTTTAAAATGCAAAGTCTAAGAATTTACTCAAACCAATTGAGTATTCAATTGTATTCCGTGGCTTAGCAATCCAAGATTTATCCATTGATCAATATGAATTTGATGCACAATATGAGATAAATAAGAAAAATCATGATCAAATTACAAGAAGATTTTCACACAAACATGTTGTCACGAATAATAAAAAAGTTAAATTATGTACAAATTGTCAAATATTCATTTCAAATCCATAAGATTAAATTCACAAAGTATATTCCTAAGTTTTTAGTTTATCTAAAATTACATTCTCTCAAACCATAACAAATATATATTAATAAATACGCTAAATTTGATACGAGACAAGTTAAAACACATGAAATAAAATAAATAAGCATGATAGAGCATTGATGGAAGAAGAATATCACAAACTTAAAAAAAAAAAAAATCAAGCCAAGATTTAAGTAAAAAATAGAGATGAGATTTAACTTACTTCAAAGTAATTTAAGAATCTTTACACTTTTACGTGGTGGTGCAACCTTGAAATTCAATTCTTGGAAGGATCTTAAATTCCTATATGACAATTCAAATAAAATATTAGAACATTTTAAACCAAATATTTTAAAGGTTTGCACTTTCATAGAATAAAATATAATTGAAAGGAAAGTAGCTAATTAAAGTGAAAAGGAAACATTTCTTTAACTCATAACTTGATAAAATACATTATATCAGTACAAAGTGGATTCACTCATAAAAAGGTCTTTTATTTTCTTTTTAGTCCAAACCATTTCATTCCAATATAACTTAATAATTTAACTATAATAGATAAACCTAAATAGTTAAATATCTAAACAAAAAAGAACTAAAGTAGTTCAATGTGTTGATATCATAATTTATTATAATAATATCAAAATCAATAAGGAAATATATTCATAATTAATATTCCCATTGGATATTGTCTCACTAGTGCAGATAGGGTCTTTCACGTCGGACTTTTTAAGCCTTTTACGTCGAAAAAGTCACTGACGTTAATACGGGAGACGTAAATTTACGTCGCCTATAAGAGATGACGTAAATTTACGTCGATTTTCTGTACCTAACGACGTAAAAAGGGCTTCAAAAGGGCAAAAAATAGGCATTAATTTACGTCGGACCAGACTATGTCCGACGTAAATTTACGTCGGCCAGTGCTAGGCCCGACGTAAATTTACGTCAGACATAGTCTGGTCTGACGTAAATTAATGCCTTTTTTTTTAAAAAATGTTTGTTGTTTTTTCATATACCCAAAATTAACCTGCATATATATACAGTCCATAGTATAAAATCTAAACCAGGCAGTCCATAATAAAAATTCAAATTATATTTCAAAATTAAATGACAAAGAAAATAATATATAAATGTTAAAAAGCACAAATTATGACAATGTAAATCCTATTATCCAAAAAAAGCTATAAAACATATGTTTGTCAATGCTATCAAACTAGAAACATAATATCTAACTAACTAAACTTAATTAAAAATTTAACTATTATATACTTTGAAGAAAAAAAGTTGCCCATTGTTCTCTTATCTTGATGATCTCATCTTCGGGCAATGGAGATGGATCTTGAAAGACCTGAAACATTAATTTAAGTGTCAATAATATGCAATGTTAATTATCGTAAAGGTAAATATACTTAAATAAATTTTGATATGAATTACCTGCGCCCAAGAATCAATAATACCCGCAGAAACTATGGCTCTCATCCAATACATGATGTAATAGCCACATTCAAACGAGTCTTGTTGCTTATTACACTAAAATGAGAAACAAATAACTATTATTTCCAAAGTCAATAAATTTAAATATTATTGACTATATGAATTAATTTGCTAACCTTAGGGTATATGAAATGCAATGACTTTGATGATCTGGCTCTTCCACTTAATATATTAGCTCCAGACACGATTCTAATTAATTGAAATAAAAACAGATGTTAGCCAATATATATAATTACAGTTTTAAAACATAATGAAAAAATTTAGTTACCCTTGTAATTGGCATTTAATTTCGTGGCTTGGTTTTCGATGTAGTGAACAAAACCACACCACGGTGTATTCCTTAGGAATGATTACCATTAACTGCCAATGGGACCTACATTGTATGACAAACAAATTAGTTATAAAATTACCATGATTAAAAAACCAATTAAAAAACTAACCCGTCAATGTATGGAGCCATGTATATATGTCTTCTTGAGTCACTCATCCATGTTTGCATATATTGTTGGATCTGGACCTGAGTGTTTCCTGATTTTTGGATGGATTGAGGCTCAATAAATCCATATACTTGTGCTTGTGCTTGCTCCACACTCAATTTGTCCATGTACCTAACACAAATAATTATTATAAGTTAAATGTAATTATTGTAAATTTAGACTCATAAAAGAAAATATGACTTACATGGCCCACAACTGTATGACAGATATATTTAACATGGAGTTTCCCCCAACAATCTCTAATGCATCAGGCAGAGATATGTATAGTGGAACATCAAAGCTATCAACTCCAAAAACTCTAATGTCCCACTGCAATTGAATTGGCTTCTTCTTTAATCGTGGTAATATGATTAGAAGCTTAGATATGGGATCATCCTTAGCTTCTGCGATATTAGCATCATCAACATGAGGTTCTCTCATGACCTCCTTACCACGATTGATAAAATCCTAAAGAAATAATCAAAATTAGTTAAACAATAATAGAATTATAAGAATATAAAAGAGCAATAATATAATTACCTTTGCCCGTGCTGAAAGCGGCATGACCAAACGTTTTGGCCAAGCTAAGAATGTGCCGGTTGCCTGCCCCACTAGTTGAACCTCTGTATTGGGCAAAGGCACTGGAGTAGTAACATCTTGAACTTGGTCAACCACAACCCGTGTCCAGTCTGGCTGTAGAGGGACACCATGGATGGTTGAGCCACCCTCAAATACTCAACCAATAGCCACTAACCGTGGGGGGTCATCCTCAACATATAACTCACACTGGTTTGGTACATCAGTGTGAGTCTGTTCTGGTGAGGGATCTGGAACAGCACAACTCCCTTTAGTGCTAACTCGAACACCATCATGAGCAACTGCAGTCTGTTGCTGAGAACGAGCCAAAAGTTCAAACTTCTGTTCAAACTCTTCTCGAATATTCTTCAATTTCTCTTTAAACTGCATCTCCATTCTATGCATAGCCTCTTAACTACAAGAGTCAACAGTGCTCCTCGATGATCGTGCACCAAAGAAATCCTGGTGGCTCCAAGAACCACCAACACCACGCACACGGCCTGCGTGCTCTGGCCTTCCTGTGGCCGTTGTGCGGATATCATCCCGACCATGGGAAACAAATGAGCCCTGGGTGCTCTGCTCAACTAAACCCTCCTGCAACATATTAACAATAAGTATACCCTAAACTACACTTATGAATTAAATGAGTTGAAATGAAGAGTCTTAGTTTGTATATTTTTACTTACTATTTTATCAGCAACGACCCTTGCAGACTTAGAAGTCATTTGCCCATCTGTTTTTGTCCGGGCTGCTATCCACATCTCATGGCGGGGAGGTGACTCCACACGGTCAGCAGACTCAACCCCTGCTGCCTCTGCCCTAGCCTTCTTCATTTCCTTTTTTTTTCTTTCATATCCCCCTCTTGACAATAGATGGGGTGCATCATTCTTGGCCTGTCGTTCTTGGGCAGCTATTCTTTTAGCCTGCAATAATACAAAAAAGAAAATGAGATTAATTAAAATATACCTTAAGTATTTGTGTCAATGTAAGAGTTATCAATAACTAACCTGCCACGAAGGGTCCAATCGAGTGGCACGAAATTGCATCCATTCCTCATCAGTGATCTGGTACTTTAGACAAGGAGTCTCATTTTGTCGCTCTCCAAATACATACTCCCGTGTCAAGAAAGTCTTGAAGTCTCTCCACCTGGTGGCAAGGGCAGATAACATCTTCCTCCTCATGACCTCAGTGTTGGGAATGTCAAAATTTTGCTATGAAAATAACAACAAATAATAAATAATGTATTTAAGTTATATAATATTGAAGGGATGTGAAAGTATATACCTGAATATCCTGCCACATGAGGTTCTTGTCAACCTCCTGAACGTCATCCCATGATGGAATGATAATAGAAACATGTCGTCGAGCTAGGACTCCCAAATAGCTCTTAAACTTGGCAGCATTTGGGCCTGATGCCTTGCCAGAACGAGGATCCACCTCAACCGGTGTCCTCTCCTTTGCAATACGTCCAACTGTCAACCCAGACAATCGGGTGACAGATCTACTTTCCCTCCTTCCACTGCCAGACCCAGAATCCTCCATAATCCTAAAAAAATTAAACTCTCATTATTAAAACAATGAATTAACTGAATAGACAAATAAAGTAAAAAAGATAATAACAATATAACAACAAAATAACTAATAAAAAAACAAATAATACACAAATAGAAACCTATTAGGTTGGAATGTTTTCCCATATTCCTTCATCATGATCACTTCGATTCATTATCTATATATTAACACAAATTAACTATTGATTCAGTTATTCATAATTTTTCTGACCTAAACTACAAACCTAAAAAATCGATAGTAATTTCGGATAAAATCCATAAATATTTCTACTAATACGATGGTAAACTAAAGGTCAATGCCTAAAAAAGTCAATCTTTAATGCATATGGAACAGCCCGTACTGAAATCAGAGCGGGTCGTTCCAGATCAACAATTTACAAAACCAAACATTTAAGCAGAACGACCCGTATTGCTTGCAGAACGGCCCGTACTGCTTGCAGAACGTCTCGTTCTACAAGCGAAACAGCCCGTTCTGCAAGGAGAACGGCCCGTTCTCCTTGCAGAACGGGTCGTTCCAGATGAACAAATAGCAGAAAATAAAAAAAAATTGCGTAGAGAAGAAACTAACCTCAAACGTGTAATGTGCAGACTGTTAGACACTTAGAAACGTCCAATGTGGAAACAAAGCTACTTCGAGACTTAGAGAATAAGAGAGAAGAAGTAATATTTTCGTAAGTGGGACGCGCGGGAATGAAAAACAGAGATGTTGTGGCATTTTAGTGGAACATTTACGTCGGTGGTGGTGGTCTGACGTAAATTTACGTCGTAGCATGGGTGATCCGACGTAAATTTACGTCGGACAGTTTGGCATGCGAAGTAGATTGACTAATTTACGTCGGACTCTCCTATGTCCGACGTAAATTAGTCTCCCAATATTTACGAAACTGCCACCGCGTTTTTACAACGTCGGGGTTACCAGTTTTCGACGTAAATTGGGTGACGTAGAAGCCCTATTTTGCACTAGTGTCTAAACGCTATATGCAAATTATACTTGAAATGCTTTTCTAGTTCACTTACAATGTGCCTCTAAAAAAGTGGGGTCCAAATACTAATTGCCTATACTTTCACATGCGGTAAGCATATTCTCCCTACAAGTGATATCATTTGTTTGACTAGGAATTTTTAAAGTAATTAATTGATGATTAAGTTAAAGGAATTAATGTCCCTAGTCCCACGTGTTTGGATTTAAAAGCTTCGCTTTAAAAAACCAATTCTAAATAGGATCTTCAGAAAGTGATCTTTAGTTTTTTTTTTTAAGTATTTGAGGTAAAATTATAATCCTACTTGTAGTACGATGCTTAATTTTGACCAATCCTAATAATATAGATCCCAAATGTGCAAGATACAAATTTAGCCAAACATTTTGCTGAATTACATCACTTGCAAATTTCCTTCTTATGATTAATTGTGCCTGAGTAAGAATTGAATGCTCTCGATCAGCCATATGATGAAGTTAGTGTAGGAATTATTTACATCCAAAACAAAAACACTATAAGTAAAAGCAAGGACTTGGAGGAAATTAAAAGACAATAAAGAAATTAAAGGATTAAATGAACCCAATACTACTAGTTAAAGAGCATCTAAAATAGCATATCACAATGGTGAATCAACAAACCTTGTGCAGACAAAAAATGTTCCTTGAACACGTATCAAGACATCTGTTTCAAGCCCTATTTTCAGAGACCTAATTGAGTTGTTAATATAAAATGATAAAAATGTCATTAAAAAAATAAGAATTAAGAAGTGTTGCAACCCAAAAATTTTTGATCTCGTGACTAACGGTTTAGACATCCTTTTGAAAATCTCATCAATTAAGGAATGCCCGAAGACCAGACTAATCCTTAATTAATGGTTTTGAAAATAGGTTCATGGAGTCGTCACCAAATTTTTACTCAAAACATTGGAAAAAAAAGGTTTTTTAAGATCCAATAATGGCCTTGATAACCAGATTTATTCCATTGCTTAGTTGCTTGTCTAGATCTTTTTCCTCTACCACTTTGCATTGCTCTTCTCCCAAATGTAACATTAAGACTTTCCACTTGCCTTAAAATGTGAATCCCTAATAATTTTAATGGTGGGTTTCATTCCTCTGTACTTCCATCAAATCAAACACGATTCAATCTAAATATGTGATTTCTGCTAAAAAAATCAACGATGACCCATAAAACACCATTTTTTTACTGTGAGGAAGTTGACAAGGTTTTACATCAAAGTTGCGAGCTGGGCAAGCCAAACCTATATGTGTATTCCAACTAGATAGATTTCCTAACCCAAGAAAGTCACTAACATAAGAGCTGCCTGCATTTTAAAAGTTTCATTTAATGATGAATCAAACATTTCCACACCATTATACCATAACTTAATTAACTCTTTCACTAAGGGCTGTAAGTAAGCATCTATATTATTTCTAGGCATTTTTTTTGCCTAGAATGGTCATTGATAAGATGAAATAAGTGTGTTTCATACACATCCAAGGAGGAAGATTATATGGAATCAAGAACATTGGCCAAATACTATATGTAGAACTCATGGTTCCAAAAGGATTGAAACCATCAGTAGCAAGGCCTAAGAAAACATTTTGAGGATCTAAAGCAAACTCAAGGTGTGTCAAATCAAATGTCTTTCATGCCTCGCCTTCCCTTGGATGCCTTATCAACCCATCTTTGTTGCCCTCTAAACCATGTCATTTCATATGCTCAACAATCTTACAACACATAAATAATCTTTGCAACCTTGGTTTCAATGGAAAGTAATGCAAAACCTTTGTTGAGATTCATAGTGGTGAATCAACTCATCTCTGGAGATTGAAGATTTTGATGATACCAAAGTGTGGAACAAGGCTAACCAAGGACATCAACAAGTCAAAAACAAAGTCAAGAAGAAAAATATAACTATTGTGTTGTAATAGGAGTAGCTCATAATTTGTGTTATGTTGTTGAGCTTATCTTTTCTTGTGTGTGCTTTGTGCTTGAGCTAATCTGTATCTAATCTGATTAGGAGTGTGTATGATGATGAGTTTAAAAGCTTAAGAAGTTATTTTGAGACATAAAATTGAGTTTTGAAAACTGACTCAAAATAATCGATTATCATTAAATATAATTGATTATTCCATCAACAGGTAAAAAGGATACCTTGCTGCAATAATCGATTATTTGTGAAATAATCGATTATCCCAGAAATCACCCTCTGGAATAATTGATTATCCTGCAAAATAATCGATTAAATTTTTCTTGGTTGATTTCCAGAAATCATGAAGAACAAAATAATCGATTATTCTTTAAAATAATTGATTATCTGGTTCTGAAAAACTTATAAATAGTTTACACATTTTGAAACTTCAGAACAAGATAGAATTGAGAATCAAAAATAGAAAAACGTGTTTGTGAAGTCTTTGTGACATTCTTGGAGAGTTTTCTTTGTGAAACCAAGAAGAAAAATGTTTTTGAAATGCTTTGAGAAAAGATCATCATCATCATCATCACATTCTTGAAAAGAGAAAGATTAAGATTTGCTTCTGAATTCCAAGTGAATTCGTTCCTTAATTCTTTGTGAATAATTGTAAATCTTGAGTAGGTTTCTCAAGTGGTAAGGAATTCTTGTAGTGGGTTTCTACAAGGGGTGCTTTCTTGGGGTCAAGAAAGTGGTTATCTTGAATGTAGGAGTGTATGCATGTGTGGTATGCTTGTAAAACTTCTTCATTAAGATAGTGGAACAAATCTTGATCA